GGAAGGGACAGTATCCCTTAGAACTGGAAAATGTTGGGGACCTCATGGAAGAGAAGGGCTGAAGAAAGTGACCCCATAACGTGGTATGTGAATGTCTGAACTCACCCCAAAGTTGACCCAGTGCAGCATAGTGAAGGATTTAGAACTGAGCTTCCAGATCTAAGATTAACACACAAACCAAACAGATTGGAATAGCCCCATGAAGTGTTAAGAAGACATTGTTTAGTGCTTATAGCCCAGAGAAGGCAGACAGAAACTTGCAGCCTAAACCTAACCAAGCTCATTGCCTGATTTTTAAAAAATCAACATTTCCATACAAGACCCTCAGTCCCATAACAATAAGCAAAATACCCAGGGTACAAACCAAAATTACTTGATATCTGGAGACCCAGGAAAATCTCAATGTTCGTCAAGGAAAAAGACAAAAAGACAATCAAGAGACAACACCTTTGAGATGACATAGTTGGAACTGAGACATTAAAGCAGCTAATATAATCATGATCCAGGAAGTAAGGGCAAATATCCTCGGAATGAGTAGAGGGATAGTCTAATCAGAAAGACAGGTGATACAAAAATAATAAAATTTAAGTTTTAGAAATAAAAATATATAACCAAATGAAAATAGTCATTGGATGGACTCAATAACAGAATGTAAATGACAGTCAATAAACTTTAAAATAATTAAATAGATCCATATAGGTAGATTGATATAAATTGATCTATGGGTCAATATAAACTATCAAGCTGAAAAAAAAAGAAACAGATTGAAAAATAAACCCTCAGGCACCTGTAGGACCATACCAAAAGGTCTTTCTTGTCATCAGTTTCAGTAGGGGAGGAGAAAGAGTATAGTATAAAAAAATTTTTTAAAGAAATAATGGTTAAAAACTGCTTAAATTTGATGAAAGACATAAAATTACAGATTCAAGAAGCTCAGTGGGCACCAAACAAGATAAGTTCAGGGAAATCCATGCCCACCCACATCATAACCTACTAAATGGAAAGACAAAGAATCCCGCGAGCTGGAGAAAAACAATGCATCAAATATAGGGAACTATATTTAAGTGACTGTGAGTTTCTCATGAGAAAACAAAGGCTAGGAGATAGTAGAACATTTCTAAAGTGCTGGGAGAAAGGGGGGAATAAAACCTGTCAACCCAGAATTCTATATTCTGTAAAAACACCCTTGAGGAATAAAAGTGAAGTAAAGACAGTATCAGATTGTGCATGCTAGGCAGCACATACACTGAAATTGGGATGTTGCTGCGAAGGGCAGCCCGGCCCCTGCAGAAGCCTGACACACAAACCTGTGACGTGTTCCACGGTTTACAGTGTACATCATGGTAACTATAGTTACTCACATAGCATCGCATCTTTGAAAGTTGCTAAGAGAGTGATCTTAGAAGTCCTCATGACAAAAATTTCTGTAATTGTCTGGTGACTATTTCACAATATATACAAATCTTGAATAATTATGTTGTACACATGAAATTAATATAATGTCCTACCTAAGTCAATTATACCTCAATAAAAATAGAAGACATTCTTAGGTGAAAACTAAGAATTCATTGTCAGCAGATTTACTCTAAAAGGCGTACTTAGGGATGCTCCTCAGACAGAAGGGATATGATACCAGTGGGGACGCTGGAACATTAGGAATGAAGGAACAGCAACAGAGGTGGTAAATATCTGGGTGAATGAAATAGATTATTTTTTCTCTTATGTTATTTAAAATAGATATGATGATTGAAAGCAAAAATTGTTGCATTGTTTATTGGGTTTTCAATTTATGTGTATTTAATATATATGACAATTACACCTGGAAAGCAGGAAGGTAAAGAGACCCATATGTCTATAAGGCTTCTACCTTCCATTTGAAGTGGTAAAACATTAATTCTGTTAGACTGAAAAGTTAACTATGTATACTGTAACTCCTAAAGCAGCTTTACATGTCTAAACAATGCAAAGAAACATAGTAAAAAACTCCATACATGAGTTAAAATGGAACACCAAATATATTTTTAAAAATCCCAAAGAATAGAGGAAAAAAAACAAAGAAATGAAAAAGCAAATAAACAAAAACAAAAAAAGGTAGACCTAAATCCAAACATATCAATAATTACATTAAAAGTAAGTGGTGTGAACATACCAATTAAAGGTAGCAAATTTCAGGAAGATCTGAGGGGGATAGAGAGGTCCGACTATATCATAACAACAAAAAAACCCTTTACAAATATAGCTACACTGGTAAGTTAAAAGGGTGGAAAAATACATACTCTGCCAACACCAAGTGTGATAATATACTTGCAAACATCAACTATAAACAATGGGATTTGACTATTTTTGCTGGGACTATAAATGATTTAACCACTTTGTAAACACGATTGACATTATCTGTGAAGAACACATACCATGTCACCCGCAGTCCCCCTCCTAAGATATCCCCAATAGAAATGTACACACAGATGTACCAAAGGATTTGTTCTAGAATGTTCAAGTCCATGTTATAACACCAAACTGAAAGAACCCAAGTGTCTATAAACAATTGAATGGATAAAATGTAGTATATACTACATATATGCATATATGCACTGAATATACTATGCAGCAGTTTGTAACTGAAGCAACACACAAAGACATTGAAGAGTTTTGCAGCCATGTCATTGAGTGACAGAAGCCAGACACAAAGGAGTCCACTCAGAAGGAGACAACACCAGCCTATAGTGTTGGACATCAGGAGAGCAGGTGTTTTGGGAGTAAGATGGGAGAGATGATTGGAAGGAGACTGGAAATGTTCTACTTCTTGTTCTGGGTGGTAGTTTTATGGTCTATGTGTCTTATGCACTTTTCTGTTAGTGTATTATAAATTAATAAAGTTTTGAAAGAAATTTTGAAATTTAAAAATTAGCATGGATGATTTAACAGAAGAGGTTCTGATCTTGCTGCAGGAAGAAAGAAATCCAGAAGAGAAGTGATTAGAGGGTTAGAATTAGGTAAACAAGTGCTTATGAAGCATTTGCCATAAGCCAGAAATGTCCCACCTGGTTTCCGTATATATCATCTTATTTAACCTGTCCCAGTCAATGAACGAGAAAGTGGAGACTATGATTGTGATCAAGCGCTGTTCAAGTGACGTTCAGGATTAAACCTAATTCTCAGTGCCATGAGGTGGGAACCAGGCCCTCTTCTCTTGACATCCTCCCCAACCCCTGGCCTCATTCCAGATTCTGACCTTGTGTCCAAGGGCATTCATACACCCCAGCCCCTGAGATGCATTGATTGTCCTGGAAGGCAAAGATGTTCCTATAGCTCTAATTTGCATCCTTTCTGGAATCTCGCTGCCTGCAGTGCATTGTGAATTACATAGTTTTCTTATAATTAGACCAAGGAGAATGTGCTACACTTTGTTGCACATAATAAAATCATCACTTGGTTGACCATAAAAGTTTAAAGTATGCCCAATTTTTTATAACTTTGTCTCATGACACCTTCATTTCTTAATACATTTAGTGCCTCAGGAGGCAAAAGGAACTCAGTCCTGCCAGTCTCTCAGTGGCTCCAGTCCTATCATTACCTCTGCTTCATGGATAAGAGATACGCCCGGGAAAGGCTTCCCTTTTTGCTTTCCCTTCAGCAGTTCCCACTGTGCCACGCTATAAGGGTGGCACAGGGTTCATTACAACATTCAGGAGAGGAGGCAAGGGCAAGATGCCTGGCCAATACCTTCTTTGGGATCATTGTGCAAACAAGGTGAGGCTGATGGCAGGTGGCCTGGGCCTCACGTCCTCCCTGGATCTCCACAGGCCTGGGAGAAAGGTGGCACCAGGCTGCTTTGAGATTCACTTGGTGGGCCTACTGTTTCTCCTTACAAGGCTTTTGCTTCAAGCTTTGTTCTTTCTAAATCCCCCTCCCCTGACTCTCCCCAGATCAATCAAAAGCCCACCCATCTGTGCCAGGGAGGGCAGGCCTGGTTTCTTGAGGAGGATATCTAATTATCCCAGCACATAAGGCAGTTCTCCCCAAATCCCTCTGTACCAAGGACTGAGGCTGAGGTCATGAGGGCAGGGAGAAGGGACCCAACCCCAAGCAGCCCAGCAAACTTTGGGTGCCAGGACCCAAAGTTTTGGGTGCAGGAGGCAGTCGAAATAAGGTAAAAAGGAAAGGGCTGGTCTCCAGGACCAGCCTGTAGTGGCAAAGGAGCTGCCTGGCCTCTGGGTCACAGTCCCTGTGCTGCGCCAGAAGCTGAAGGGAGGCAGGAAGGAACTGCTTGGCCTGAAGCCCAGCTCCTGGAGGCACTGGCTAGGGGGCCAGGGTGGGGAGGGAAAAGAGGTGGGGCTTGGGACAGCACCCAGCCATCTGGGCCCTGCTCAGGTGCCTGCTGAGACAGATTTTTCCCAGAGGGTGGTCTCCTTCACCTACTGTGTTAGGAGAAGAGGAGAGGAGGATCAGGAAGGGGGAGCAGCGAAAGAAGGAAGCACCAAATCCAGGAAGACAGGAGCTGGAAGTGAGGACTGCTACTTTCCCTCTGGTTTGAGGTTGAGGGTGGCCTCCAGGGGCAGAGAAGGAGGGAGCTAAGCAACAGGTGCAGATACATGTGAGACCCAGCATGTCGGTGGCCAGCACTGTGAACTTGACTTGACCTAGCAGATTCTTGGTCCTGGCCTTTGGAAAGGGCTAACTAGCTATGTGCAGTGCTGTGGGGAGCACCAGAGTGGTCTGCATGTTGCTTGGCTTATAGTATGTCCTAAATAAATGGTCTTTGTCATGGCAAAGGCCTTAGCCTATACTCTGGGTATGGGGAAGGGGGTGGTGGCTGTGGCTGAAGTAATATGCTCCAGGACTCAAAACTTCCTAGGAAGGAAGAGACTAGGAAGACGAGGTGGCCCGCCCAGCTGCTCTGGCTCCACAGGCGAGGCCTGTCTGATGCGCAGGCTGCCTTTCACTGAGGATTTCTGGCTGGAGCAAGTGGAAGGACCTGCTTGGCTGGAACGTATTTTTTTGTCCCTCCCAGGCGACGTCCGATGGGTGTGTCAGGCAGGAGGTGATATTTGACGGGCTGCTGGCCGGCTGCTTCGGAGCCTGGTGCCAGGCAGGGTGCGAGCATGGCCTCCCCCGACCCACCGGCCACCAGCCATGCACCACCTGATGTGCCCCCAGGGTTGGCCCTGTTCTTCACCATCCCCTATGCCTTCTTCCTGCCAGAGCTGGTGAGTAACCCCTGCAGATAGGCTTGGGGCTGGGGGCTGGGGGCTGGGGGCTGGGGGCTGGGGCTGGGGCTGAGGTGCTCCCCTCCCAGGGGAGGAAGGGGGACCTGAGCCAGAGATGTTCCATGGGGTGACCGGGATACTCTCTACTCCCTCCTGCGCTCCCCTCAGCCCCTGCAGCGAGGGTGGGTGGTGACTGGGGGGGTGGGGGGGGGTGCAGTGGTGCTGCTATTATGGATCTTCAGGAAGGTGTTGGAAACTTTTATTTTACGGCTTCTTTTCTACAACTACTTGTTTGTGCTCTTCTAAAGTTCCAAATGGGGGACTCTGTCTTTCCTCCTGAGAGAGGAGGTCTTCCAGTATCTTCTTGTCAAGTCAGCTGACTTTGAACTTTGGCTTAGGTAGACTCCCCAGAGGAGGCGGTTTATGAGACCCTTGGCTATACAATAGTTCGGGGAGCCACCCTGGCTGCACATGAAAACCTATTACCCCATTAGTCACTCTCTGGGGCACCTATGGCTGAATTGTGATCCAATCCCTGACAGAGCACGTAGCGTTCACTGAGCTTGGTCCTTTCTAAGCTGCTATCATCATCCCCTTTTCACGGATGGGGACACTCAAGTCTGGTTAGCAAATCAGGGTGAAGGAGTTTGTTTTTCCGACCCCTTCTGAAATACCTAGCTTGTGGGTGATATTTTCTTACAGGCTCTGAATGTGGCAGTACTGCCCCGGGGCAAAGAGGGAAAGATAGAAAGTGGTTCCAACTTTCAATTGGACCTGGCTAGCCCTCTCACTCTCGTCATCTGCTTAGAAGGCTGGGCCCATTTGAGTGACCTTTTGGCAAACTGGTTAAAGGGCGCCCACTAATGACAATCAGAAAGGGAACTAGGTAGGGCGGGCCCAGAACTTGGGTGGTTCCAGCTAAACCTCACCCAAAAAGCAAGTTTCTACCAGGCCTGCCCCCTAGGGGACACAAGCGTGGGCATCCTGCCAAGCTGATGACATCTTAGTGTTCTTGCAAGTTCACTGTGCCGGGACCCGGGCACATCCCTCACCTCAGAACAGCTACATGAATTGCAGTCATGTGGTTGGCTTGTGACCAGCAGGCATGCCACTGGTGCCACTGCCTTCCCAGGGTCCCTGACTGCTGGAGAGAGACTGGTGAGCACTTCCTCCCCACTAGTCAGACTGTGCTAAAGGAGGTGACCATTCAGGGCTGTGGCACAAGAAAGGAGAGGCCATCTGACCTGGTCAAGTGGGGGAGTAGTCTTCATGGAGAAGGCTACTGTGCATTTGGATCTCAAAGGATAGGCTAGATTTCCAGGCTGGGGCCGGGTGGTGGAGGGGGGCTGGTGGCTAGCAGGGAGTTGGGGGTGGGGACAGAGGGAAGAGAAGGAAAGGCCCAGAGGCAGGAAAAACCAACAGGTAGGAGGCTGGAGGTAGAGGCTTTCTAGAATCCAGAAAGTACCGGGGTGAGAGGGGCCGTCCCTTGCACCCACCGCCGAGATGCTGGCTCCTGCAAGTGGAATTCCTGGGGGAGCCAAGTGCATGCTGTGCTGATTTCCCCACTGACTTCATTTTTCTGGTCCAGGATGCAGTCCTGGGCTCCACACTGCATTTAGTTGTCATGTCTCCTTTTCTCCTTTAATCTAGGGCAATTCCTCAGTCTGTGTTTTAACCCTTCGGAGACGACGGGACAGTTGTTTTGTAATGTTCCTCCGTTTGACATGTCTAATGTTTCCTCATTACAACCTCATTTCTACTTCACTAGTGACCCATACTCATTGTTGAAAACTTCGAAAACACAGAAAGAAATATAACTTACATATTCATATATATATATATATATATATATATATATATATATATGGTGGTCCCCCTTACCCATAGTTTTGCTTTCCATGGATTCAGTTACCCACGGTCAACCATGATCTGAAAATATTAAGTGGAAAATCCCAGAAGTAAACAACTAGTAAGTTTTAAATCTCGCACCATTCTAAGCAGTATAGCACGGTCTCTCAGGGCCCAGGTTCTGTGCAGCCCAGGACAGGAACCGCATCTCCGGCCAGCATCCCCACCCTGCACACATTCCCGCCCATTGCCACTGTCTTGGCTATCAGATGAATGGTCACAGTACCCCGGATAAAGTCACCTTTATTTTACATAAGATTCCAAAACACAGGAGTGGTGATACTACCAATTGAAGATGCCAAAGAGAAGCGATAACATGCTTCCTTTAAGTAAAAAGGTCAAAGTTCTCAATGTAATAAGGAAAGAAACAAGAGAGCATGCTGAGGTTGCTAAGATCTAAAGAACAAATCTATCCAGGAAATTGTAAAGAAGGAAAAAGGTGTTTCATGCTAGTTGCTGAGAGAGACTAATTTCATTACAGTATGTTGTTAGGTGTCCTATTTTATTATTAGCTTCATTGGTAATCAATTACTGTGCCTATTTATAAATTAAACTTTATCATAGGTATGTACAATAAGAAAAAAGACAGTGTATATGTGTGGGGGGAATGTAGACAAATGTAGATGCAGATGTAGATGTGGATATAGATGTAGATGATAGAGATATATAGGTACAGATAGGTGGTTCGGTATTGTCCTGTTTGAGGTCTTAGGCATTCACTGGGGGTCTTGGACTGTGGCCCCCTGGGGTAAGGGGGCACCACTGCACACATGGATGTATTAGTTGGGTTATTCTGTACATGCTGCTCTGCACTGGCTTCTTCATTACACAAGCCTTCCTAGCACAGAATATAGAATCGTGTGTGCCTCACACCTGGGGAGGGCGACGGGGAGGTAACCAGGACAAAAGGGGAGAACGTCTAGGTGAGTGGGTGATTCCTGACCCCATGGAGCAGAAGACAAGCTGGGCTGGAGAGGAAAGTGCAGAGTCAGACAACCGAAGCCCCTCTCTGCCCCTGGTCTCCTGGCTGTGCTGCCCACTGTCACCCACCGGGGCTGACCGAGGAGCACCAGGCCTTGCAGTCCCAGTAGACTCTCTGTCTTGGGACCCAAGGCATCACAGACAACTGTATATTTTCCTAAGGACCGCAAAACGAAGCAGAGGAGGCAAAATCTGTAACCCGGACTAGGTGTCATCCACGGAGTGGCCCAGAGCAGACATGGGTGGTGTCTGTCTGCACATGTCCCTTCAGCCACTGTTTCCTAAGTGCCCGCTGTGAAGTCTGGAAAGCAGGGCCAGTGCTCAGGGAGTGAGAAGAGCAGAGTTAAACAAGGGGCCTCTGCTGAGGCCCCAGCTCTGCTCCTCAGAACCCTGCCCCCCTGCCACCCCTGCTGCCTAGATGGGGGCAGCTCTTCTGTGTGTGGGGGTGATGACAGACTTGGATGTCACAGACTCGGGGGGTCTTATGTTCTCCACCCGCTCTGCTCCCTGCAGCTGCTCTCACAGAATCTTTGCCTAACTTGCTTTATTTTAGAGTCTCTAACATTAAAATTCACACTTCTAAGCTTGATTTTACAGTAAGTATAGATCCATAGGCAGTTGCAAAGCTGGTGTCAGGGAGGAGTGCCCTGCCCTTCACCCAGTGCCCCCACGGTTACGTCTGTGAAGACACTAGTGACGAACCAGGAAACAGATGGTGGCGAGACATGTCTGCGTAGGTGTGTGTGTCTATGTTTTCACTTTACAAAAGGTACGTCAGTACCTGTTCTCCAAGAAAAATCTGAACAGGACTTTTGCTTTTATAAAAAAGGCAAAATTAGTGCTTAGTACTAGTTCTGCAGCAGCTGGTAGAGGCAGCAGCCCCCCAGCAGCCAGAGCGGCCCCACCGCGCTGCTTCCCCAGAACCACCCTCAGCACCGCACACCCAGCGCCAGAGCTCTGAGCCGGGTCTGGGAGCGTCTGGGCCTCAACTCCATTGATTCTGCGTGTCTGTCAGCAAAGTGGGTCCTAAAGCAACAGAAATGCCTAAGAGAGCTCATTGAGGTGTTTCATTTAGCATAAAACTGGACGTAATTAGCGTATTTGGTATGATTTGGTAGGTTATTTTGGGGTCTGTGAACATTCAAAAAGTTTTCAATATAAATTAATGGTAATTTCTTCTTTGCTTTATGGCATTTCAGCTTTGAAAGGTTTCACAGGAACTTCTGCTTCCGGGTAGCGGAGGAATGTGTCCTTCTGTGTCATTTTCTCACATAAGCAGATTCCTGCAACTACAGTCAAGATACAGCACTGTTTCGTCACCACAAAGGCCTTCCCCCTGCTTCCATGTTACAGTCTCTGCCTCCCCACCCCAACCTGCTCCTCCCTGTCCCCGTCCTGAGCCCTGGAAACCACTAATTCTACCTCTACAATTTCGTTATTTTGAGAAAGTGAGATAAATAAATGGGTCACAAAGCATGTGGCCTTTGAGACTGGCTTCTTTCACTCAGCATAGTCCCTGAGGTCCACCCAAGTTGTGGCGAGAGTATCAATGGCTCCTTCCTTTTCATTGCTGCATGGTGTCCCCTGGTGTGGACCTACTGTGTTTGTGTGCCCACTGGCCTGTTGAGGACACTGGTTGCTTACAGTTGTGAGCTACTCTAACTGAGGCTGCTAGGAACACTCATGCACAGGATTTGTGTGGACGCAGTTTTCCCTGCTCTGGGAAAATGCAGAGTGTGATTGCTGGATTGTGTAATAAGTGCATATTTGGTTGTTTTATTAAGACACTGACAAACCCTTCTCAGGACTGACTGTACTCTTTTAAAATTCCCACCAGCAACAGAGAAAGATTTCTGATATTCCAACATTCAAATTTGTATTTTATTTGGTTTATAGTGAAATTCTGATTTCTCATTTGAAAACAATATTGATTTCAAAATATAATCTCCTTCATTCACTGATTGTGAGTGCCTGCTGGTGCCAGCACTACACAGGGCCTGGGGGCCATATGACTCACCCCCACTCCTTCTCTCTGTAGAGCAGACTGCGCTGGAGGGCGGTGTGGGGAGAGGGTGACCTTGTGATTGCCTAATTCCCTGTATGACTCTTCA